ACATTGCAAGTTAATTACATTCCTCGTCCCTTTACCTCATCGTGAATTTCTTTTCTCCTAATGTGATTTTTGAAACTAGGCTAAGCCAAATGTCCCACTTAGATATATCGTCCTTAAAACTTCCACCTAACTGGGTATTTACATTTGAAGCAAGGATCGACCACTCCCCAACACTGGAGGTAACAGATAACAGCGGTGTGGCCCCTAAGATCGCATCTTGTTAGGCTATCTCAGACTAAGGCGGATGTGGACAAGGGTCAAGGTCAAGTGCGCTTCCAACTAGGTCAATCAATAGTTCTGAGAGATGACACACATCACTTGCTAAACTAGGTCAATCAATAGTTCTGAGAGATGACACACATCGCTTGCTAAACTTGGTCAATCAATAGTTCTGAGAGATGACACACATCGCTTGCTAAACTTGGTCAATCAATAGTTCTGAGAGATGACACACATCGCTTGCTAAACTAGGTCAATCAATAGTTCTGAGAGATGAGACACATCGCTTGCTAAACTTGGTCAATCAATAGTTCTGAGAGATGACATTATATTATGTAGATGTAATCATGTTGGATTATATTATGGAGATGTAATCGTGTTGGATTATATTATGGAGATCTAATCATGTTGGATTATATTATGTGATGTAATCATGTTGGATTATATTATGTAGATGTAATCATGTTGGATTATATTATGGAGATGTAATCATGTTGGATTATATTATGTAGATGTAATCATGTTGGATTATATTATGGAGATGTAATCATGTTGGATTATATTACGGAGATGTAATCATGTTGGATTATATTATGTAGATGTAATCATGTTGGATTATATTATGGAGATGTAATCATGTTGGATTATATTATGTAGATGTAATCATGTTGGATTATATTATGGAGATGTAATTATGTTGGATTATATTACGGAGAAGTAATCATGTTGGATTATATTATGTAGATGTAATCATGTTGGATTATATTATGGAGATGTAATCATGTTGGATTATATTATGGAGATGTAATCATGTTGGATTATATTACGGAGATGTAATCATGTTGGATTATATTATGGAGATGTAATCATGTTGGATTATATTATGTAGATGTAATCATGTTGGATTATATTATGTAGATGTAATCATGTTGGATTATATTATGGAGATGTAATCATGTTGGATTATATTATGGAGATGTAATCATGTTGGATTATATTATGTGATGTAATCATGTCGGATTATATTACGGAGATGTAATCATGTTAGATTATATTATGGAGATGTAATCATGTTGGATTATATTACGGAGATGTAATCGTGTTAGCTAAGATTATAATGTTTTAGGTAGCATACTGGAGCTAAGGTTTAAGGTTATGGTGATTAAGGTTAGCTCTAGATGATTAATTAAAATCATCCTAACCCTAACCAACTCAATCAAGGCTGTGTGGATGTGTGTGACTGTGTGGGTGTGGGGGTAGCATGGAGGAGAAGATTAATTGAAGCAAACACTGAGGGGGCGATAGTGTAGCATCGTATCCCCCCCCCCCCCCACCTCCCAGTTTGTTTTGGTCCATTTAGTGACCTCTGGCAGTTGTGACATTTTTACGACATTGAAGCTATGCGCTAAGGAAAAGTTACTCTAATTGGAAATTATTTTGCTCGCACTGGAACTTGTCTGCCCTTTTATTTTACCGCTGCCACGCCCTCTGTCCTCTGCCCTCCGAATCTATTAATTAGATAAAACAAACCCAAATAACCATGGGAAAGCGTTAGGGTTAGCGTTAGGGTTAGCGTTAGCGTTAGCGTTAGGGAAAGCGAACAGTTATAAGAAATAAAATAAAAAACCTTGCTAATGTTAGTCTGTAGAACCCATACATCAATGTAAATTGTAACTTTAATCCCAGGCCAGCTATTACACCTCTAACACTTGTTACACCTCTAACACTTGCTACACCTCTAACACTTGTTACACCTCTAACACTAGCTACACCTCTAACACTTGCTACACCTCTAACACTTGCTACACCTCTAACACTTGCTGCACCTCTAACACTTGCTACACCTCTAACACTTGCTACACCTCTAACACTTGCTACAGCTACTCCTCTAACACTTGCTACAGCTACACCTCTAACACTTGCTACACCTCTAACACTTGCTACACCTCTAACACTTGCTACACCTCTAACACTTGCTACACCTCTAACACTTGCTACAGCTACACATCTAACACTTGCTACAGCTACACCTCTAACACTTGCTACACCTCTAACACTTGCTACACCTCTAACACTTGCTACACCTCTAACACTTGCTACAGCTACACCTCTAACACTTGCTACAGCTACACCTCTAACACTTGCTACACCTCTAACACTTGCTACACCTCTAACACTTGCTACACCTCTAACACTTGCTACACCTCTAACACTTGCTACACCTCTAACACTTGCTACAGCTCTAACACTTGCTACACCTCTAACACTTGCTACACCTCTAACACTAGCTACACCTCTAACACTTGCTACACCTCTAACACTTGCTACAGCTACACCTCTAACACTTGCTACACCTCTAACACTTGCTACAGCTACACCTCTAACACTTGCTACACCTCTAACACTTGCTACACCTCTAACACTTGCTACAGCTACACCTCTAACACTTGCTACACCTCTAACACTTGCTACACCTCTAACACTTGCTCAGCTACACCTCTAACACTTGCTACACCTCTAACACTTGCTACACCTCTAACACTTGCTACACCTCTAACACTTGCTACAGCTCTAACACTTGCTACACCTCTAACACTTGCTACACCTCTAACACTTGCTACACCTCTAACACTTGCTACACCTCTAACAGTTGCTACAGCTACACCTCTAACACTTGCTACACCTCTAACACTTGCTACACCTCTAACACTTGCTACACCTCTAACACTTGCTACAGCTACACCTCTAACACTTGCTACACCTCTAACACTTGCTACACCTCTAACACTTGCTACACCTCTAACACTTGCTACACCTCTAACACTTGCTACACCTCTAACACTTGCTTCAGCTACACCTCTAACACTTGCTACACCTCTAACACTTGCTTCAGCTACACCTCTAACACTTGCTACACCTCTAACACTTGCTACACCTCTAACACTTGTTACACCTCTAACACTAGCTACACCTCTAACACTTGCTACACCTCTAACACTTGCTACACCTCTAACACTTGCTGCACCTCTAACACTTGCTACACCTCTAACACTTGCTACACCTCTAACACTTGCTACAGCTACTCCTCTAACACTTGCTACAGCTACACCTCTAACACTTGCTACACCTCTAACACTTGCTACACCTCTAACACTTGCTACACCTCTAACACTTGCTACACCTCTAACACTTGCTACAGCTACACATCTAACACTTGCTACAGCTACACCTCTAACACTTGCTACACCTCTAACACTTGCTACACCTCTAACACTTGCTACACCTCTAACACTTGCTACAGCTACACCTCTAACACTTGCTACAGCTACACCTCTAACACTTGCTACACCTCTAACACTTGCTACACCTCTAACACTTGCTACACCTCTAACACTTGCTACACCTCTAACACTTGCTACACCTCTAACACTTGCTACAGCTCTAACACTTGCTACACCTCTAACACTTGCTACACCTCTAACACTAGCTACACCTCTAACACTTGCTACACCTCTAACACTTGCTACAGCTACACCTCTAACACTTGCTACACCTCTAACACTTGCTACAGCTACACCTCTAACACTTGCTACACCTCTAACACTTGCTACACCTCTAACACTTGCTACAGCTACACCTCTAACACTTGCTACACCTCTAACACTTGCTACACCTCTAACACTTGCTCAGCTACACCTCTAACACTTGCTACACCTCTAACACTTGCTACACCTCTAACACTTGCTACACCTCTAACACTTGCTACAGCTCTAACACTTGCTACACCTCTAACACTTGCTACACCTCTAACACTTGCTACACCTCTAACACTTGCTACACCTCTAACAGTTGCTACAGCTACACCTCTAACACTTGCTACACCTCTAACACTTGCTACACCTCTAACACTTGCTACACCTCTAACACTTGCTACAGCTACACCTCTAACACTTGCTACACCTCTAACACTTGCTACACCTCTAACACTTGCTACACCTCTAACACTTGCTACACCTCTAACACTTGCTACACCTCTAACACTTGCTTCAGCTACACCTCTAACACTTGCTACACCTCTAACACTTGCTTCAGCTACACCTCTAACACTTGCTACACCTCTAACACTTGCTACACCTCTAACACTTGCTACACCTCTAACACTTGCTACAGCTACACCTCTAACACTTGCTACACCTCTAACACTTGCTACACCTCTAACACTTGCTACACCTCTAACACTTGCTACACCTCTAACACTTGCTACACCTCTAACACTTGCTACACCTCTAACACTTGCTACACCTCTAACACTTGCTACAGCTACACCTCTAACACTTGCTACACCTCTAACACTTGCTACACCTCTAACACTTGCTACACCTCTAACACTTGCTACACCTCTAACACTTGCTACACCTCTAACACTTGCTACACCTCTAACACTTGCTACAGCTACACCTCTAACACTTCAATAAAACATCTGGTCAACAACACATCTGGTCAACAACACATGTAGTCAACAACATGAGATCGATTGGACGGATTGGCTGGACTGCTAACCCGTAAATCTCGAGTTCGAATCCGGGTTCAAGTCAGTAGACCGTCCCTTTAGGGTAAGTATAGGCGGCTGGGCATATAATATGGTCACAGAAGCAGGTGAACTCTACTTCACTTGCCTCGTGTAGACCGTCAGGTTTGAAAAGGGAACTTGACTTACTTGCACCTGTGGTCAACCCATCTTGTCAATAGAAACGTAACGAATATCTTTTAAACAAGTATCTTTATTAATATTCACATATGTGTATTACAATCTACGTATTGAAATCAATATTAACATTCGTATAAGTGTAACAGTATCTTCTTTCTTAAATGTGTAATAGTATAACATGTTTAGCTTGCTGTTGTCATGTGTTTAGCTGGCTGCTGTCATGTGTTTAGCTGGATGCTGTCATGTGTTTAGCTGGATGCTGTCATGTGTTTAGCTTGCTGCTGTCATGTGTTTAGCTGGCTGCTGTCATGTGTTTAGCTGACTGCTGTCATGTGTTTAGCTGGCCGCTGTCATGTGTTTAGCTGGCTGCTGTCATGTGTTTAGCTGGCTGCTGTCATGTGTTTAGCTGGCTGCTGTCATGTGTTTAGCTGGCTGCTGTCATGTGTTTAGCTGGCTGTTGTCATGTGTTTAGCTGGTCAATGTCATGTGTTTAGCTTGCTGCTGTCATGTGTTTAGCTTGCTGCTGTCATGTGTTTAGCTGGCTGCTGTCATGTGTTTAGCTGGCTGCTGTCATGTGTTTAGCTGGCTGCTGTCATGTGTTTAGCTGGCTGTTGTCATGTGTTTAGCTGGTCAATGTCATGTGTTTAGCTTGCTGCTGTCATGTGTTTAGCTTGCTGCTGTCATGTGTTTAGCTGGCTGCTGTCATGTGTTTAGCTGGCTGTTGTCATGTGTTTAGCTGGTCAATGTCATGTGTTTAGCTTGCTGCTGTCATGTGTTTAGCTTGCTGTTGACATGTGTTTAGCTGGCTGCTTTCATGTGTTTAGCTGGTCAATGTCATGTGTTTAGCTTGCTGCTGTCATGTGTTTAGCTTGCTGCTGTCATGTGTTTAGCTTGCTGTTGTCATGTGTTTAGCTGGCTGTTGTCATGTGTTTAGCTGGCTGTTGTCATGGCGTGTAGAGTTGCCTCTGTACCCCGCAGACTTGCTGAGGGCGAGGAGTCATTTGCTGAGTCATTGGGTGAGTCATGGTGTCTAAGATAGCTTTCGTCGCCATGGTAACCATCAGGTACCGGGTAACCGTCATGGAGAGAGACGGGGACAGTTTTAGGTGACGTCTGCGCTACGTAACTGTGAGGGGCGGCTGACATCAATGACAAGTGCTGTGACGTCAGTATAGTGTGGGACGGTGACGTCAGTTTGATGGAATTTGTTGGAGGTAGAGAACACCCCGTTTGGTCAACTGCTTCGTTGCCAGACTTAAATTGTGTTCCATAGCCGGACTTGGGATGGACAAAGTCATAAAAATGATTTTTGCCACTGTTGTAATCTGTTTTCTCTGACGTCTCGCTGTAATCGTTTCTTTGCGGCATTTCAAACGATTCGACCTTTAGCGCCTCCATATAGTCGCATTTATTGGCGCGAGGAGCGTAATCTGGTCTCTCTTGGTCGTGGTAGCCGGACATTTTGACCGGCTCATGGTAGCCGGACATTTTGACCGGTTCATGGTAGCCGGACATTTTGACCGGCTCATGGTAACCTTGGCTGTACCCAGGGGTTGGGGCGTGGAAGTAGCCGGCAGATCTGGCTGCCTCAAGGTATGTCATGTTGACTTGACCTACATAGCCAAGCTTCATGGCGTCCAGGCCGTAGTGGCTTTTGTATTGTTCAGGGTCAAGGTTAGGGTTAGTTTTAGGGTACTCGGCGTACGCCATGTTGGAGTGGTCGAGCTGGTTGCCTGACGGCCTGACGCCTGTTTCCGCCTGCTCTAACTTGACCTGTGAGTACCCAGCACTCTTCTGGTCCCCGCCTGACTTGACCTCAGCCTTTGGACTGACAGACATGACCCCGCCCCCTTTTGTGTTGACGTCAGAGCTACGGTTGACGTCAGAGCTACGGGTGACGTCAGTGCTACGGTCGCTGCTTCCTTTGGCTGAGACTTGACTTTTTACATCTGTGAAAAAAAATCGCCTGTTAAAAAGCTGCTAAATATAGAAAATTAAAATAAATTAACGTGTACCAACACCAGACATAACTAACTGACAAAACTAACATAGCTAACTAGCATAACTAACATAACTAACATAACTAACTGACATAACTAACTGACATAACTAACTGACATAACTACTGACATAACTACTGACATAACTAACTGACATAACTAACTGACATAACTACTGACATAACTAACTGACATAACTACTGACATAACTAACTGACATAACTACTGACATAACTAACTGACATAACTACTGACATAACTAACTGACATAACTACTGACATAACTAATGACATAACTAACTGACATAACTGACATAACTAACTGACATAACTACTGACATAACTAACTGACATAACTACTGACATAACTAACTGACATAACTGACTTAACTAACTGACATAACTAACTGACATAACTAACTGACATAACTAACTGACATAACTGACATAACTAACTGACATAACTACTGACATAACTAACTGACATAACTAACTGACATAACTAACTGACATAACTAACTGACATAACTAACTGACATAACTGACATAACTAACTGACATAACTACTGACATAACTAACTGACATAACTAACTGACATAACTAACTGACATAGCTACTGACATAACTAACTGACATAACTACTGACATAAATAACTGACATAACTAACTGACATAACTAACTGACATAACTAACTGACATAACTAACTGACATAACTACTGACATAACTAACTGACATAACTAACTGACATAACTAACTGACATAACTACTGACATAACTAACTGACATAACTAACTGACATAACTACTAACATAAATAACTAACATAACCAACTGACATAACCAACTGACATAACTAACTGACATAACTACTGACATAACAAACTGACATAACTACTAACATAAATAACTGACATAACTAACTGACATAACTAACTAACATAACTAACTAACATAACTAACTGACATAACTACTGACATAACTAACTGACATAACTAACTGACATAACTACTGACATAACTAACTGACATAACTAACTGACATAACTAACTGACATAACTTCTGACATAACTAACTGACATAACTAACTGACATAACTAACTGACATAACTAACTGACATAACTAACTGACATAACTACTGACATAGCTACTGACATAACTAACTGACATAACTAACTGACATAACTAACTGACATAACTACTGACATAACTAACTGACATAACTAACTGACATAGCTACTGACATAACTAACTGACATAACTAACTGACATAACTAACTGACATAACTAACTGACATAACTACTGACATAACTAACTGACATAACTAACTGACATAACTAACTGACATAACTAACTGACATAGCTACTGACATAACTAACTGACATAACTAACTGACATAACTAACTGACATAACTAACTGACATAACTTACTGACATAACTAACTGACATAACTAACTGACATAACTAACTGACATAACTACTGACATAACTAACTGACATAACTACTGACATAACTAACTGACATAACTAACTGACATAACTACTGACATAACTAACTGACATAACTAACTGACATAACTAACTGACATAACTAACTGACATAACTAACTGACATAACTACTGACATAACTAACTGACATAACTACTGACATAACTAACTGACATAACTAACCTTCCGACTTGGTTTTGTTGACGTTTTTAGGTTTTCTTTTCCTGGTTTGTATCCCATCTTTCTTCATGGCCAGTGGACGGTTGACCTAGTTTCATCCAAGCAGAACAGAGGTTAAAAATTAAAGCCAAGGTCATACGTGTGATTAGTGTACAATGACGTCAGGTCTAACAAACACTGACCCCATGCCAGTAAAGTAATAAAGGCTGTCACTGACCCCATGCCAGTAAAGTAATAAAAGCTGTCACTGACGTAATAAAAGCTGTCACTAACCCCATGCCAGTAAAGTAATAAAGGCTCTCACTGACCCCATGCCAGTAAAGTAATAAAAGCTGTCACTGACCCCATGCCAGTAAAGTAATAAAAGCTGTCAGTGACGTAATAAAAGCTGTCACTGACGTAATAAAGGCTGTCACTGACCCCATGCCAGTAAAGTAATAAAAGCTGTCACTGACCCCATGCCAGTAAAGTAATAAAAGCTGTCACTGACACCATGCCAGTAAAGTAATAAAAGCTGTCACTGACCCCATGCCAGTAAAGTAATAAAAGCTGTCACTGACGTAATAAAAGCTGTCACTGACCCCATGCCAGTAAAGTAATAAAAGCTGTCACTGACGTAATAAAAGCTGTCACTGACACCATGCCAGTAAAGTAATAAAAGCTGTCACTGACCCCATGCCAGTAAAGTAATAAAAGCTGTCACTGACGTAATAAAAGCTGTCACTGACCCCATGCCAGTAAAGTAATAAAAGCTGTCACTGACGTAATAAAAGCTGTCACTGACCCCATGCCAGTAAAGTAATAAAAGCTGTCACTGACCCCATGCCAGTAAAGTAATAAAAGCTGTCACTGACCCCATGCCAGTAAAGTAATAAAAGCTGTCACTGACCCCATGCCAGTAAAGTAATAAAAGCTGTCACTGACGTAATAAAAGCTGTCACTGACCCCATGCCAGTAAAGTAATAAAAGCTGTCACTGACCCCATGCCAGTAAAGTAATAAAAGCTGTCACTGACCCCATGCCAGTAAAGTAATAAAAGCTGTCACTGACCCCATGCCAGTAAAGTAATAAAAGCTGTCACTGACCCCATGCCAGTAAAGTAATAAAAGCTGTCACTGACGTAATAAAAGCTGTCACTGACGTAATAAAAGCTGTCACTGACCCCATGCCAGTAAAGTAATAAAAGCTGTCACTGACCCCATGCCAGTAAAGTAATAAAAGCTGTCAGTGACGTAATAAAAGCTGTCACTGACGTAATAAAAGCTGTCACTGACCCCATGCCAGTAAAGTAATAAAAGCTGTCACTGACCCCATGCCAGTAAAGTAATAAAAGCTGCCACTGACCCCATGCCAGTAAAGTAATAAAAGCTGTCACTGACCCCATGCCAGTAAAGTAATAAAAGCTGTCACTGACCCCATGTCAGTAAAGTAATAAAAGCTGTCACTGACACCATGCCAGTAAAGTAATAAAAGCTGTCACTGACCCCATGCCAGTAAAGTAATAAAAGCTGTCACTGACCCCATGCCAGTAAAGTAATAAAAGCTGTCACTGACCCCATGCCAGTAAAGTAATAAAAGCTGTCACTGACGTAATAAAAGCTGTCACTGACCCCATGCCAGTAAAGTAATAAAAGCTGTCACTGACCCCATGCCAGTAAAGTAATAAAAGCTGTCACTAACCCCATGCCAGTAAAGTAATAAAAGCTGTCACTGACCCCATGTCAGTAAAGTAATAAAGGCTCTCACTGACCCCATGCCAGTAAAGTAATAAAAGCTGTCACTGACCCCATGCCAGTAAAGTAATAAAAGCTGTCACTGACCCCATGCCAGTAAAGTAATAAAAGCTGTCACTAACCCCATGCCAGTAAAGTAATAAAAGCTGTCACTGACGTAATAAAAGCTGTCACTGACCCCATGTCAGTAAAGTAATAAAAGCTGTCACTGACCCCATGCCAGTAAAGTAATAAAAGCTGTCACTGACCCCATGTCAGTAAAGTAATAAAAGCTGTCACTGACCCCATGCCAGTAAAGTAATAAAAGCTGTCACTGACCCCATGCCAGTAAAGTAATAAAAGCTGTCACTAACCCCATGCCAGTAAAGTAATAAAGGCTCTCACTGACCCCATGCCAGTAAAGTAATAAAAGCTGTCACTGACCCCATGCCAGTAAAGTAATAAAAACTGTCACTGACCCCATGCCAGTAAAGTAATAAAAGCTGTCACTGACGTAATAAAAGCTGTCACTGACGTAATAAAAACTGTCACTGACCCCATGCCAGTAAAGTAATAAAAGCTGTCACTGACCCCATGCCAGTAAAGTAATAAAAACTGTCACTGACCCCATGCCAGTAAAGTAATAAAAGCTGTCACTGACGTAATAAAAGCTGTCACTGACGTAATAAAAACTGTCACTGACCCCATGCCAGTAAAGTAATAAAAGCTGTCACTGACACCATGCCAGTAAAGTAATAAAAGCTGTCACTGACCCCATGCCAGTAAAGTAATAAAAGCTGTCACTAACCCCATGCCAGTAAAGTAATAAAGGCTCTCACTGACCCCATGCCAGTAAAGTAATAAAAGCTGTCACTGACGTAATAAAAGCTGTCACTGACCCCATGTCAGTAAAGTAATAAAAGCTGTCACTGACCCCATGCCAGTAAAGTAATAAAAGCTGTCACTGACCCCATGCCAGTAAAGTAATAAAAGCTGTCACTGACCCCATGCCAGTAAAGTAATAAAAGCTGTCACTGACCCCATGCCAGTAAAGTAATAAAAGCTGTCAGTGACGTAATAAAAGCTGTCACTGACGTAATAAAGGCTGTCACTGACCCCATGCCAGTAAAGTAATAAAAGCTGTCACTGACCCCATGCCAGTAAAGTAATAAAAGCTGTCACTGACACCATGCCAGTAAAGTAATAAAAGCTGTCACTGACCCCATGCCAGTAAAGTAATAAAAGCTGTCACTGACCCCATGCCAGTAAAGTAATAAAAGCTGTCACTGACCCCATGCCAGTAAAGTAATAAAAGCTGTCACTGACGTAATAAAAGCTGTCACTGACCCCATGCCAGTAAAGTAATAAAAGCTGTCACTGACCCCATGCCAGTAAAGTAATAAAAGCTGTCACTGACCCCATGCCAGTAAAGTAATAAAAGCTGTCACTGACCCCATGCCAGTAAAGTAATAAAAGCTGTCACTGACGTAATAAAAGCTGTCACTGACCCCATGCCAGTAAAGTAATAAAAGCTGTCACTGACCCCATGCCAGTAAAGTAATAAAAGCTGTCACTAACCCCATGCCAGTAAAGTAATAAAAGCTGTCACTGACCCCATGTCAGTAAAGTAATAAAGGCTCTCACTGACCCCATGCCAGTAAAGTAATAAAAGCTGTCACTGACCCCATGCCAGTAAAGTAATAAAAGCTGTCACTGACCCCATGCCAGTAAAGTAATAAAAGCTGTCACTGACCCCATGCCAGTAAAGTAATAAAAGCTGTCACTGACCCCATGCCAGTAAAGTAATAAAAGCTGTCACTGACCCCATGCCAGTAAAGTAATAAAAGCTGTCACTAACCCCATGCCAGTAAAGTAATAAAAGCTGTCACTGACGTAATAAAAGCTGTCACTGACCCCATGTCAGTAAAGTAATAAAAGCTGTCACTGACCCCATGCCAGTAAAGTAATAAAAGCTGTCACTGACCCCATGCCAGTAAAGTAATAAAAGCTGTCACTAACCCCATGCCAGTAAAGTAATAAAGGCTCTCACTGACCCCATGCCAGTAAAGTAATAAAAGCTGTCACTGACCCCATGCCAGTAAAGTAATAAAAGCTGTCACTGACCCCATGCCAGTAAAGTAATAAAAGCTGTCACTAACCCCATGCCAGTAAAGTAATAAAAGCTGTCACTGACCCCATGCCAGTAAAGTAATAAAAGCTGTCACTGACGTAATAAAAGCTGTCACTGACGTAATAAAAGCTGTCACTGACCCCATGCCAGTAAAGTAATAAAAACTGTCACTGACCCCATGCCAGTAAAGTAATAAAAGCTGTCACTGACGTAATAAAAGCTGTCACTGACGTAATAAAAACTGTCACTGACCCCATGCCAGTAAAGTAATAAAAGCTGTCACTGACCCCATGCCAGTAAAGTAATAAAAGCTGTCACTGACCCCATGCCAGTAAAGTAATAAAAGCTGTCACTGACCCCATGCCAGTAAAGTAATAAAAGCTGTCACTAACCCCATGCCAGTAAAGTAATAAAAGCTGTCACTGACCCCATGCCAGTAAAGTAATAAAAGCTGTCACTGACGTAATAAAAGCTGTCACTGACGTAATAAAAGCTGTCACTGACCCCATGCCAGTAAAGTAATAAAAACTGTCACTGACCCCATGCCAGTAAAGTAATAAAAGCTGTCACTGACGTAATAAAAGCTGTCACTGACGTAATAAAAACTGTCACTGACCCCATGCCAGTAAAGTAATAAAAGCTGTCACTGACCCCATGCCAGTAAAGTAATAAAAGCTGTCACTGACCCCATGCCAGTAAAGTAATAAAAGCTGTCACTAACCCCATGCCAGTAAAGTAATAAAGGCTCTCACTGACCCCATGCCAGTAAAGTAATAAAAGCTGTCACTGACGTAATAAAAGCTGTCACTGACCCCATGTCAGTAAAGTAATAAAAGCTGTCACTGACCCCATGCCAGTAAAGTAATAAAAGCTGTCACTGACCCCATGCCAGTAAAGTAATAAAAGCTCTCACTGACCCCATGCCAGTAAAGTAATAAAAGCTGTCACTGACCCCATGCCAGTAAAGTAATAAAAGCTGTCACTGACCCCATGCCAGTAAAGTAATAAAAGCTGTCACTGACACCATGCCAGTAAAGTAATAAAAGCTGTCACTGACCCCATGCCAGTAAAGTAATAAAAGCTGTCACTGACCCCATGCCAGTAAAGTAATAAAAGCTGTCACTGACCCCATGCCAGTAAAGTAATAAAAGCTGTCACTGACCCCATGCCAGTAAAGTAATAAAAGCTGTCACTGACCCCATGCCAGTAAAGTAATAAAAGCTGTGACTGACGTAATAAAAGCTGTCACTGACCCCATGCCAGTAAAGTAATAAAAGCTGTGACTGACGTAATAAAAGCTGTCACTGACCCCATGCCAGTAAAGTAATAAAAGCTGTCACTGACCCCATGCCAGTAAAGTAATAAAAGCTGTCACTGACCCCATGCCAGTAAAGTAATAAAAGCTGTCACTAACCCCATGCCAGTAAAGTAATAAAAGCTGTCACTGACGTAATAAAAGCTGTCACTGACACCATGCCAGTAAAGTAATAAAAGCTGTCACTGACCCCATGCCAGTAAAGTAATAAAAGCTGTCAGTGACGTAATAAAAGCTGTCACTGACACCATGCCAGTAAAGTAATAAAAGCTATCACTGACCCCATGTCAGTAAAGTAATAAAAGCTGTCACTGACGTAATAAAAGCTGTCACTGACACCATGCCAGTAAAGTAATAAAAGCTGTCACTGACCCCATGCCAGTAAAGTAATAAAAGCTGTCACTGACCCCATGTCAGTAAAGTAATAAAAGCTGTCACTGACGTAATAAAAGCTGTCACTGACACCATGCCAGTAAAGTAATAAAAGCTGTCACTGACCCCATGCCAGTAAAGTAATAAAAGCTATCACTGACCCCATGCCAGTAAAGTAATAAAAGCTGTGACTGACCCCATGCCAGTAAAGTAATAAAAGCTGTCACTGACCCCATGCCAGTAAAGTAATAAAAGCTGTCACTGACCCCATGCCAGTAAAGTAATAAAAGCTGTCAGTGACGTAATAAAAGCTGTCACTGACCCCATGCCAGTAAAGTAATAAAAGCTGTCACTGACGTAATAAAAGCTGTCACTGACGTAATAAAAGCTGTCACTGACGTAATAAAAGCTGTCACTGACACCATGCCAGTAAAGTAATAAAAGCTGTCACTGACCCCATGCCAGTAAAGTAATAAAAGCTGTCACTGATCCCATGCCAGTAAAGTAATAAAAGCTGTCACTGACCCCATGCCAGTAAAGTAATAAAAGCTGTCAGTGACGTAATAAAAGCTGTCAGTGACGTAATAAAAGCTGTCACTGACGTAATAAAAGCTGTCACTGACACCATGCCAGTAAAGTAATAAAAGCTGTCACTGACCCCATGTCAGTAAAGTAATAAAAGCTATCACTGACCCCATGCCAGTAAAGTAATAAAAGCTGTCAGTGACGTAATAAAAGCTGTCACTGACGTAATAAAAGCTGTCACTGACCCCATGCCAGTAAAGTAATAAAAGCTGTCACTGACCCCATGCCAGTAAAGTAATAAAAGCTGTCACTGACGTAATAAAAGCTGTCACTAACCCCATGTCAGTAAAGTAATAAAAGCTGTCACTGACGTAATAAAAGCTGTCACTGACGTAATAAAAGCTGTCACTGACGTAATAAAAGCTGTCACTAACCCCATGTCAGTAAAGTAATAAAAGCTGTCACTGACGTAATAAAAGCTGTCACTGACGTAATAAAAGCTGTCACTGACGTAATAAAAGCTGTCACTGACCCCATGCCAGTAAAGTAATAAAAGCTGTCACTGACGTAATAAAAGCTGTCAGTGACCCCATGCCAGTAAAGTAATAAAAGCTGTCAGTGACGTAATAAAAGCTGTCACTGACGTAATAAAAGCTGTCACTGACACCATGCCAGTAAAGTAATAAAAGCTGTCACTGACCCCATGCCAGTAAAGTAATAAAAGCTGTCAGTGACGTAATAAAAGCTATCACTGACGTAATAAAAGCTGTCACTGACGTAATAAAAGCTGTCACTAACCCCATGCCAGTAAAGTAATAAAAGCTGTCACTGACACCATGCCAGTAAAGTAATAAAAGCTGTCAGTGACCCCATGCCAGTAAAGTAATAAAAGCTGTCAGTGACGTAATAAAAGCTGTCACTGACGTAATAAAAGCTGTCACTGACACCATGCCAGTAAAGTAATAAAAGCTGTCACTGACCCCATGCCAGTAAAGTAATAAAAGCTGTCAGTGACGTAATAAAAGCTATCACTGACGTAATAAAAGCTGTCACTGACGTAATAAAAGCTGTCACTAACCCCATGCCAGTAAAGTAATAAAAGCTGTCACTGACACCATGCCAGTAAAGTAATAAAAGCTGTCACTGACACCATGCCAGTAAAGTAATACAAGCTGTCACTGACCCCATGCCAGTAAAGTAATAAAAGCTGTCACTGACACCATGCCAGTAAAGTAATAAAAGCTGTCACTGACCCCATGCCAGTAAAGTAATAAAAGCTGTCAGTGACGTAATAAAAGCTATCACTGACGTAATAAAAGCTGTCACTGACGTAATAAAAGCTGTCACTAACCCCATGCCAGTAAAGTAATAAAAGCTGTCACTGACACCATGCCAGTAAAGTAATAAAAGCTGTCACTGACACCATGCCAGTAAAGTAATACAAGCTGTCACTGACCCCATGCCAGTAAAGTAATAAAAGCTGTCACTGACCCCATGCCAGTAAAGTAATAAAAGCTGTCAGTGACCCCATGCCAGTAAAGTAATAAAGGCTCTCACTGACCCCATGCCAGTAAAGTAATAAAAGCTGTCAGTGACCCCATGCCAGTGACGTAATAAAAGCTGTCACTGACGTAATAAAAGCTGTCACTGACACCATGCCAGTAAAGTAATAAAAGCTCTCACTGACCCCATGCCAGTAAAGTAATAAAAGCTATCACTGACCCCATGCCAGTAAAGTAATAAAAGCTGTCAGTGACGTAATAAAAGCTGTCACTGACGTAATAAAAGCTGTCACTGACCCCATGCCAGTAAAGTAATAAAAGCTGTCACTGACGTAATAAAAGCTGTCACTAACCCCATGCCAGTAAAGTAATAAAAGCTGTCAGTGACCCCATGCCAGTAAAGTAATAAAAGCTGTCACTGACGTAATAAAAGCTGTCACTGACCCCATGCCAGTAAAGTAATAAAAGCTGTCACTGACGTAATAAAAGCTGTCACTGACACCATGCCAGTAAAGTAATAAAAGCTGTCACTAACCCCATGCCAGTAAAGTAATAAAGGCTGTCACTGACCCCATGCCAGTAAAGTAATAAAAGCTGTCACTGACGTAATAAAAGCTGTCACTGACACCATGCCAGTAAAGTAATAAAAGCTGTCACTAACCCCATGCCAGTAAAGTAATAAAGGCTGTCACTAACCCCATGCCAGTAAAGTAATAAAGGCTCTCACTGACCCCATGCCAGTAAAGTAATAAAAGCTGTCACTGACGTAATAAAAGCTGTCACTGACGTAATAAAAGCTGTCACTGACACCATGCCAGTAAAGTAATAAAAGCTGTCACTAACCCCATGCCAGTAAAGTAATAAAAGCTGTCACTAACCCCATGCCAGTAAAGTAATAAAAGCTGTCACTGACGTAATAAAAGCTGTCACTGACGTAATAAAAGCTGTCACTGACACCATGCCAGTAAAGTAATAAAAGCTGTCACTGACGTAATAAAAGCTGTCACTGACGTAATAAAAGCTGTCACTGACGTAATAAAAGCTGTCACTGACACCATGCCAGTAAAGTAATAAAAGCTGTCACTAACCCCATGCCAGTAAAGTAATAAAAGCTGTCACTAACCCCATGCCAGTAAAGTAATAAAGGCTGTCACTGACCCCATGCAGCTTGTAGTAAAGTCCACAGGCATTACAAACAGGTTCGCCCTCGTTGCTGCGCCTCCATAGTGTTGTGGTGTTGGTGTGGCAGTTGGCGCACGACAGACCAACTCGGCGTGAGGCGGACTGAGAATTGAAGAACATCGGCGTCTTTAAGGGAGAATAGAAGAGTCAGTGGCGTCATGGTGATTGATTTACTTAACCTTGATTTATTTTAGGGTTAGGTACAACATAAGGGTAACTTTAGGGTAACTTTAGGCTAACTTTAGGGTTAGGTACAACATTAGGGTAACTTTAGGGTTGGGTACAACATTAGGGTAACTTTAGGGTTAGGTACAACATTAGGGTAACTTTAGGGTTAGGTACAACATTAGGGTAACTTTAGGGTTAGGTACAACATTAGGGTAACTTTAGGGTTAGGTACACCATTAGGGTAACTTTTGGTTAGGTACAACATTAGGGTAACTTTAGGGTTAGGTACAACATTAGGGTAACTTTAGGGTTAGGTACAACATTAGGGTAACGTTAGTGGTAACTTTATGGTTAGGTACAACATTAGGGTAACTTTAGGGTTAGGTACAACATTAGGGTAACTTTAGGTTTAGGTACAACATAAGGGTAACTTTAGTGGTAACTTTAGGGTTAGGTACAACATTAGGGTAACTTTAGGGTTAGGTACAACATTAGGGTAACTTTAGGTTTAGGTACAACATTAGGGTAACTTTAGGGTTTAATACAACATTTGGGTAACTTTATGGTTAGGTACAACATTAGGGTAACTTTAGGGTTAGTTACAACATTAGGGTAACTTTAGGGTTAGGTACAACATTAGGGTAACTTTAGGGTTAGGTACAACATTAGGGTAACTTTAGGGTTTAATACAACATTTGGGTAACTTTATGGTTAGGTACACCATTAGGGTAACTTTTGGTTAGGTACAACATTAGGGTAACTTTAGGGTTAGGTACAACATTAGGGTAACTTTAGGGTTAGGTACAACATTAGGGTAACTTTAGGGTTAGGTACAACATTAGGGTAACTTTATGGTTTAATACAACATTAGGGTAACTTTAGGATTAGTTACACGCTAAGGAAAGCTCTAGAAACATTTTCAGTTTTGAACTTGTTGGTTTATTGTTATAGTAAGTTGAACTTATCCATCACTATTTTGGTGTATTATTTATAGTTATGGTAAGTTTAACTTATCAGTTTCTATTTTGGTTGATTATTTATAGCTATGGTAAGTGGAACTTATACGTTTCTATTTTGGTTGATTATTTATAGTTATGGTAAGTTTAACTTATCCGTTTCTATTTTGGTTGATTATTTATAGTTATGGGAGTTATGGTAAGTTGAATTTATCCGTTTCTATTTTGGTTGATTATTTATAGTTATGGTTAGTTTAATTTATCCGTTTCTATTTTGGTTGATTATTTATAGTTATGGTAAGTTTAATTTATCCGTTTCTATTTTGGTTGATTATTTATAGTTATGATAAGTTGAACGTACCCGTTTCTATTTTGGTTGATTATTTATAGTTATGGTAAGTTGAATTTATCCGTTTCTATTTTGGTTGATTATTTATAGTTATGGTAAGTGGAACTTACCAGCCGCCTCTGTGGTTTGATAAGAGGCCGATTGAGGCCATTCATTTTGTGGTACAATCCACAGGCGTTGCAAAGATAATGTCCAGTGCCGTCCCGCCTCCACAGTGGGGTAGAGATGGAGCCACAGTTGACACACTCCCGTCCCTCAAGGTCGGCCCAGTACTCCTGTCCATCTGGAAGTTAATGACACACACACTTATTCATTAACTACCATTAATTTTGGGTTAATTACACAATATTATTAATTATTAATTAGACACAATTATGCGTTAATGATAAAACATTTATATATATATATATATATATATATATATATATATATATATATATATATATATATATATATATATATATATATATATAAATTATAGATAAATAACTAAATAATTATAAATATATAGGCTTATGTATATGTTTGTATGCAGATGTCTGGCTGTTTATCGCACTCCCCAGAGACGAGCATTATTTTCTCATCTTTTGAAGATGGCAGGGACGGGTGGGGAATACATGAACAGGTGCGACAGGTGCACCAGCCACGCCCCCCCCCCCCCCCCCCTGAGATCAATCCCGATATTCTAGGCGGTCAAATTTTCTTCCAGTGGTTAAGGTTTGGGGTTAGGACTAGGACTAGCGTTAGAGTAAGGATTTGTTATTAGCATGGCTTGTCCATTGCCTCTGTTTACTGTTAAAACTTCAGTTTAGTTCTATTCTGACTAAAGTTTAGGAAACTTAGAACTAAAGTTTAGGCAAATTATGTTTAAAGTTTAGGCAAATTATAACTCAAGTTTAGGAAAATAATAAATTCAATTTAGGTCAAGTATAACTTCAGTTTAGGTCAATTATAAATAAAAATAAAACACGACAACGGTGGAGACTAATACAGTAGTCTAGTGGTAACATCAAATAAAACACGACCAACTGTGGAGACTAATACAGTAGTCTAGTGGTAACATCAAATAAAACACGACCAACGGTGGAAACTAATACAGTAGTCTAGTGGTAACATCAAATAAAACACGACCAACGGTGGAGACTAATACAGTAGTCTAGTGGTAACATCAAATAAAACACGACCAACGGTGGAGACTAATACAGTAGTCTAGTGGTAACATCAAATAAAACACGACCAACGGTGGAGACTAATACAGTAGTCTAGTGGTAACATCAAATAAAACACGACCAACGGTGGAGACTAATACAGTAGGCTAGTGGTAACATCAAATAAAACACGACCAACGGTGGAGACTAATACAGTAGGCTAGTGGTAACATCAAATAAAACACGACCAACGGTGGAGACTAATACAGTAGGCTAGTGGTAACATCAAATAAAACACGACCAACGGTGGAGACTAATACAGTAGGCTAGAGGTAACATCAAATAAAACACGACCAACTGTGGAGACTAATACAGTAGTCTAGTGGTAACATCAAATAAAACACGACCAACGGTGGAGACTAATACAGTAGTCTAGTGGTAACATCAAATAAAACACGACCAACGGTGGAGACTAATACAGTAGTCTAGTGGTAACATCAAATAAAACACGACCAACGGTGGAGACTAATACAGTAGTCTAGTGGTAACATCAAATAAAACACGACCAACGGTGGAGACTAATACAGTAGTCTAGTGGTAACATCAAATAAAACACGACCAACTGTGGAGACTAATACAGTAGGCTAGTGGTAACATCAAATAAAACACGACCAACTGTGGAGACTAATACAGTAGTCTAGTGGTAACATCAAATAAAACACGACCAACTGTGGAGACTAATACAGTAGGCTAGTGGTAACATCAAATAAAACACGACCAACTGTGGAGACTAATACAGTAGGCTAGTGGTAACATCAAATAAAACACGACCAACTGTGGAGACTAATACAGTAGGCTAGTGGTAACATCAAATAAAACACGACCAACTGTGGAGACTAATACAGTAGTCTAGTGGTAACATCAAATAAAACACGACCAACTGTGGAGACTAATACAGTAGGCTAGTGGTAACATCAAATAAAACACGACCAACTGTGGAGACTAATACAGTAGGCTAGTGGTAACATCAAATAAAACACGACCAACTGTGGAGACTAATACAGTAGTCTAGTGGTAACATCAAATAAAACACGACCAACTGTGGAGACTAATACAGTAGTCTAGTGGTAACATCAAATAAAACACGACCAACTGTGGAGACTAATACAGTAGGCTAGAGGTAACATCAAATAAAACACGACCAACGGTGGAGACTAATACAGTAGGCTAGTGGTAACATCAAATAAAACACGACCAACGGTGGAGACTAATACAGTAGTCTAGTGGTAACATCAAATAAAACACGACCAACGGTGGAGACTAATACAGTAGTCTAGTGGTAACATCAAATAAAACACGACCAACGGTGGAGACTAATACAGTAGTCTAGTGGTAACATCAAATAAAACACGACCAACGGTGGAGACTAATACAGTAGTCTAGTGGTAACATCAAATAAAACACGACCAACGGTGGAGACTAATACAGTAGGCTAGTGGTAACATCAAATAAAACACGACCAACGGTGGAGACTAATACAGTAGGCTAGTGGTAACATCAAATAAAACACGACCAACGGTGGAGACCAATACAGTAGTCTAGTGGTAACATCAAATAAAACACGACCAACGGTGGAGACTAATACAGTAGTCTAGTGGTAACATCAAATAAAACACGACCAACTGTGGAGACTAATACAGTAGGCTAGTGGTAACATCAAATAAAACACGACCAACTGTGGAGACTAATACAGTAGGCTAGTGGTAACATCAAATAAAACACGACCAACTGTGGAGACTAATACAGTAGTCTAGTGGTAACATCAAATAAAACACGACCAACTGTGGAGACTAATACAGTAGGCTAGTGGTAACATCAAATAAAACACGACCAACTGTGGAGACTAATACAGTAGGCTAGTGGTAACATCAAATAAAACACGACCAACTGTGGAGACTAATACAGTAGTCTAGTGGTAACATCAAATAAAACACGACCAACTGTGGAGACTAATACAGTAGTCTAGTGGTAACATCAAATAAAACACGACCAACTGTGGAGACTAATACAGTAGGCTAGAGGTAACATCAAATAAAACACGACCAACGGTGGAGACTAATACAGTAGGCTAGTGGTAACATCAAATAAAACACGACCAACGGTGGAGACTAATACAGTAGTCTAGTGGTAACATCAAATAAAACACGACCAACGGTGGAGACTAATACAGTAGTCTAGTGGTAACATCAAATAAAACACGACCAACGGTGGAGACTAATACAGTAGTCTAGTGGTAACATCAAATAAAACACGACCAACGGTGGAGACTAATACAGTAGTCTAGTGGTAACATCAAATAAAACACGACCAACGGTGGAGACTAATACAGTAGGCTAGTGGTAACATCAAATAAAACACGACCAACGGTGGAGACTAATACAGTAGGCTAGTGGTAACATCAAATAAAACACGACCAACGGTGGAGACTAATACAGTAGTCTAGTGGTAACATCAAATAAAACACGACCAACGGTGGAGACTAATACAGTAGTCTAGTGGTAACATCAAATAAAACACGACCAACTGTGGAGACTAATACAGTAGTCTAGTGGTAACATCAAATAAAACACGACCAACTGTGGAGACTAATACAGTAGTCTAGTGGTAACATCAAATAAAACACGACCAACGGTGGAGACTAATACAGTAGTCTAGTGGTAACATCAAATAAAACACGACCAACGGTGGAGACTAATACAGTAGTCTAGTGGTAACATCAAATAAAACACGACCAACGGTGGAGACTAATACAGTAGTCTAGTGGTAACATCAAATAAAACACGACCAACGGTGGAGACTAATACAGTAGGCTAGTGGTAACATCAAATAAAACACGACCAACGGTGGAGACTAATACAGTAGTCTAGTGGTAACATCAAATAAAACACGACCAACTGTGGAGACTAATACAGTAGGCTAGAGGTAACATCAAATAAAACACGACCAACGGTGGAGACTAATACAGTAGTCTAGTGGTAACATCAAATAAAACACGACCAACGGTGGAGACTAATACAGTAGGCTAGTGGTAACATCAAATAAAACACGACCAACGGTGGAGACTAATACAGTAGGCTAGTGGTAACATCAAATAAAACACGACCAACGGTGGAGACTAATACAGTAGTCTAGTGGTAACATCAAATAAAACACGACCAACTGTGGAGACTAATACAGTAGGCTAGAGGTAACATCAAATAAAACACGACAACGGTGGAGACTAATACAGTAGTCTAGTAGTAACATCAAATAAAACACGACCAACGGTGGAGACTAATACAGTAGTCTAGTGGTAACATCAAATAAAACACGACCAACGGTGGAGACTAATACAGTAGGCTAGTGGTAACATCAAATAAAACACGACCAACGGTGGAGACTAATACAGTAGTCTAGTGGTAACATCAAATAAACCCGGAGCAGACTAATAAAAGCCGGAATCAATTGGGTAGTTTTAGGGATCATGGTGTCAAGGGAATTGTGTGTCAAGGGAATTGTGTGTCAAGGGAATCGTGTGTCAAGGGAATCGTGTGTCAAGGGAATTGTGTGTCAAGGGAATTGTGTGATAAGGGAACTGGACGTCAAAGAAAGCAAAAGATTTTGGGACTTGATGAGGTAACTTGATGAGGTAACTTGATGAGGTAACTTGATGAGGTAACTTGATGAGGTAACTTTAGGGAATGACGAGGTGTCGGCTCTGATATTCAAAGCACGTGACCATAAGGGCTGGCTTTCAAATGTGAAATAGTTCAAGCTATCCCTACCCTAATTCGTCATCAGTCCATAACCGACATCTATACACGATGTGGACGGACCAGGCTGACCGTGAAAAGCATACGAAAAAAAAAAAAAAAAACACAATGACGTGCTTAAATTTATTTCATAATTAATTTTTCTATCGAGTATTTGAATTTTTTTTAACAAAATGTGTTGCAATAGTTGAGTTCTCTTTACTAATTTAAAGAAAAATGTGGGATTGTTATTGTTTTTTAAAAAAATGCTTTTTTAAACGTTAAAAATGTGTTACTAAATTAACACAACCCATATTTATAAATACCCATTTGACAATTCTTAA